ATATATATATATATATATATATATATATATATATATATTTAAATCATAAAGGCTAGTTTTGAGTGTCTTTTTTAAGTTTATCTTCATTTTTTGGATGGGACAACCTCAGTAGACCAACAGTCCAGTGTAGTCGTTAAATTTTGTTATTAATTAAATGTTTAATTAAAACTATAACCCAAATGCATTATCTTGAGCTTATTATAATTAAAGATAATTTTCCAAATATTTGTCCATCTTACCAGTTTCTCTTTGTAATACCTCAAAATATTACAGTTAGAAATACTCAAACAATTTCATCAGCACACTTTAACAAATATACAAGATGTGACCCCTAGGAATATCATTAATCTGCATAATAATAATAAAAAAAAATGACTCTCATGATACTCCACTAGTAACAAGGGTCCAATTTGACTGGACTTCATTAATAACTGAATCCCATTTAACCACCATGCAATCCAACTAACTAGTCTTTCTTCAGTTCCTACCAATGTTGGAATTTTTTAGCTAATCTTTTGTTTAGCTCCTTATTGAATGATTTTTTTTGGAAATCTATGTACATGAAGTATTTGCCCCTTTCTTCATCCAGATAGCAAGCAATATTAACATTATTAATACAAGATTTCCATTTAGTAAATTCACATTGGTCTTCATTTATAATATTGCAGTTCACAAAAAATTTCATAAAGCTTCTTTTATTAGACTATAAAATGTTTTCCTACTACAGAAGTAAGACTAACTGGCCTATAACTTCATGTCCTCAGTTTTCATCTTTTGTGTCTCAGTTAACTTGGTTTCATTGTTTTGGGGGATATACTTCATTGGGTTTACTTACTTTCTGACAATTGCCTCTCTCATTCTTCTTTCAGGGACCTTTGTGGTGAGCTCTTTATTTATGATGAGTTATTTTTTTATTGTGTGTGTGTGTGTCTATACTTTTAAATTTTGAGCTGATGCTCTTTAGCAATCATCTCTGCTTGATTTGGTTTCTTGACCTTTTGGACCAGGAGCTCCCACCCAGTTTCTTATCCTATACAGCCTTTTGGGGTCACCTGTCCTGTCCATAATCCACTTATTACTATCCAACATTCCCCTTCTCTAAAAGCTATCTGTTGCAGGTTTATTAGGCTTCGTTTCTGGAGTCTGGTGGGAGCTCAGTTTTTCCACTTTATATACCTGTGGACTTCCTTTACTGCTGACACTTTATATACCTGTGGACTTCCTTTACTGCTGACACTTTATATACCTGTGGACTTCCTTTACTGCTGACTACTGGATTATTTAGGGGTTTCTTGGAGATCCCTCCCCCATTCTTCCACTGTCCATCTCGCCTTAGTAGAACACATGAAACAATTCCTCGACTGCACTCTGGGGTCTTACTTACATTTTTTTCATTGTTTCCATGAGGATGGTAGGTCAGCATCCTGTCATAGTTCTGTCTCACTTGAACTGCCTTTGATCTTTTCTGTATTCAAGGTGGTTGGTTTTCCCACTCTGGAGGGCATACCCTCCCAGGCTGTGGAGGACTTGGATCAAGTTTTCAGTT